CTTTGGAAAGTTCACCATAGTCTTATGATGCAATCCTTCAGGCAGCTGTTCCAGAAGGCTAACATATTTTGCCATGTATCAGAGCAGTTCCAGTGCTAAAAAGCCRTTCATAAAAGGCTACAGTTTCAGAAACCCTCCTATCAGATGTTGTTAAAATAACTTATTTTACTAGGAATTAGTGAAAATCAAGAAATAGAATGTTTAAGTGCATGCATCCATCACAGGATGTTTAATCTACCRGATAAATAAAGTTAGACTCTTATACAAAAATATCTCAGCCTAAGATWTTTATTCCAGTAGCTTTGTGTACAGAAATTGCTTTAAGCAGAAAGCTGTGGTTTGTCTTCTTGAGGCTCAGGAGCCTGCTTTCACCTCTGCATTATTCCAGTTATTCCTAAGARCGACGACTGAGGCAYRGACTCCACATTGGTATGCRAAGATGTTTATTGCGCAGCTTAAATTCTTTATATATCATAAATCAACCTGGAAGTAATTCTACCCTACTACACACTCCAATCAATTATCTTGTCTCAGAATATTGCCTTTTATGGTACTAGGTAAACAATAACTTTTACAGTAGCAAGCAGTGTTCTTTCAGTCTCATGCAAACTGCTAGTCACAAACTTCCTATTTCACTCCTGATCAGTTGTGTTTGCTAATTCCAAGGTTTCTTCCACACCAAGGACAGAAGATAGGCCTGACTTTAAGGTCTGTTGCTCTGCTGTTACCACTACCAATATTCTGTAACCTTACACCTAAGTATGTCCAGGAGCAACAGTATTTTTTTTGGAACACTATTATGATTTGTTTTGTGATGGGGGAAGGAGCATGTGTTGCTTTTTGCCATGGGTAGGAATGTCATAATGTTGTCATTCCCCATTCAACATTTTCCAAACTTCTGCTTGAAGAGAAAAGAGTCACACACTTTATGAAACACGCTTTCTATATAAATAGTACTCAGTGCACCTTATTTGGCCCTGGTTTCGTATTTTGTCTCAGTATTTTGTCTTAGATGCACGCTTGTGCATATAGCACAATGGAGGGGTGGGAGCTCAGTGCCACACAGACCTGTTATTGATAATAAATGGATTCTTTATGAAGCTAATACTGAGAAGATAAGATCAGTTTGCTGTTCTGTTCTTTCTTAATCCCTAAGAATGCTTKTCCATTTGAATACCTATTGCATAGCCCTTCACAGGGATTTTGCTGGCTGTCTCTAAGTGCTTGGAGAGGAGCTTTGCATAGCTTAGAAGTCTTGTGATTTGTTTGAAGGTTTGTACCAAACCTTCATGTTGTTGCACTAACCCCATRTGCCACTGCCAAGACAGAGCAACACAGAAAGACCACAGCAAGCTGAATTTGGGAGGAGCAGAGCCCAGGACCCCCAAGGCAGGAGCTACGACATCAATCTATGATGACACCACCAACCAGTGCTATTTTGATTGTCATGCTATAAAGTACCTGTTGTTGCTACCTGCAAATTGGTTTTCTTWCCAAAGCAGAAGCCTTAAGAATGTTTACACCCAGTTGTTATTGTGCAAGGAAGGGTAGCATCTGAAATATTTATGCAGGGGGAAAATTAGATCTTGTTTAGTCAGATGTATGCTTACAATCACAAATCCAAACTTGGGAGCAAACAGGTTGTTATTTTCCCTGTTATCCAATTCAAAAATGCCAACAGGTACTTTTCTAATATTTCRACTTGATTTTGAAACTTTTTGCTTACATTTTAGCATGGAATGTTACAATAGCATAACTATGCACAACAGTTTGGACCCAAATAAATCAATGTACATATCAGGACAACAAAGACCTGGAAGGAGTTCATCTGGCATGGTGAAGTCTACTGCTTCTCTCAGCACATGTATTTAGCACATGATGAGTGGTGCTCTGATGGCTTGACTGGAAGCTACTTTCTACAGCAAAGATGTTTGTCACAGAAGCRTCACTCTAGGCAACATAAATCATCTTTTGCAGTACAGAATACTGGCCCTATTGACCAGTGTGTGGTAGGACAAACTGCATTGTTTCTTTTACGTCTCCAAGAAAGAATGAGKTTTCACACAGGAGTCAGCTGGTTGATTGCCACAAATATTTCCATTAAACTTTCCAAAGGCTTCTGCACTGCTTACTGAGAAAAAGAAAAAAGAATCTGCTTTAGAGGAAGCAACAATAAATTATGTTYAGCAACAGATACAATTCACCAGGTCTTCTTCTCTGCAAACATTCAAAGCACACTGTAAATTTGACTGCAGGTTATCAGTTACAGAATATACAGAGCACTGATGTGTAAATTGTGCTTACAGAAACTTGCTCTGCTGCCATCACCAAAGCACAGTTTCAAGGAATCCCTCATGTTCATTTACATTTCTCAGGCATGGGTGGATTCCCCTGTATGCTGACTTATTCCAACAAATTGTTACTTACTTAACTTCAAGCACAAGGTAAACTTACTGTTTTTGCTAAGATTACTGATATTAGTAGCCCCATAGCAGCATCAGTTTGGGCCCAATAGCCACACTCAGAACGGCTTTATATCTTGACTCAGGCATGCTCTGAGCATCAATTTAGGGCTTTATCTGAGGATTTCATCCATTACTGCTTTCTCTATCCCTTTAGCAAATACTCAGCATTTAAAATAAAACAATTAACCAGATAGTGTTAGATTTTCACTTTGATATTCTTTTAATTTCATTTTCTTTGCCTTTAATTCCTTACAAATGATAATGTGTTTCAATGCAAATTTAGAGTTAAACTTCTTAAAGTGTTTACAACCAAAACACCAGGGAAAAAAGGAAGAATTCTTTCCTGACTGGGAATGCAATCCCACATGCATCTGACAATCAGTATTGAGACAAATCAAAACTAAATTGGCTCCTTATAACTTGTAAATTGGTCAAATGTCAGCCAGCAATCYTCCAGCACCAAGTATTAAAATATTTCATAAATCTTCTTCCCCCTGACCAACAAAATCAAATTGAAACTCATTAAGAGGCCCTTTTGTAACCTTGTGCTGCTATACTGATAAAGTTGGGGTTTTTTTGTCAAAAAGAGTCCAAGCAGTTCAAACAATTGAGTGGACACATACACTGGTAGGATATTAATCTACTTTTTCATCTCTTTTCAATTTGTTCCATCAAAGATGCCTCCTACAGCTTGCCTTCCCTGCCACCTCCATCCTTTTCACTTACCATCTCTGCTTTCATTAATTGAGTTGGCTATACAGAATATTCGTTGTCTAAATCAAAATCTGGAATAGCAATGCAACGATTTGTAGGGTTGCCAGATGTTAGCAAGGRAAAAAAAAAGATTCCTAACTCAATTGCCTTCTCTACAACACAGCTTTTATATGTTCCAGAGCAGAGAGAATTTCTTGGTTATTTGGTTTTCTGATGTGGTACCTACAGGTACTCTTAGCTTTCCATTTGAGCAAAAATAACAACCTTGAAAGGCACATGCTGGAACGTTTCTGACAATAAAAGAATAATGCCAGCTGGGAAAGACACTAGCAAAATAGAAAGAATATTATATTCAGTATTTTCCATTAGCACAAACTGAAAGTGCAGAGAGACTAATAATGAAAAAATGTATTTAAAATAAAACAGTCCAGAAGGCTATTGCTTTATTGCATACAAAAATAATCCAGAAGTCCAGTGGCTATATAATTTAAATCAAATGTCCAAAGAACATTTTTTGCCTGGAAAAAAGCTACAACTCTTGGGTCTTTATCCAGTTGCATGGGATTAAGATAAAGCTATAAATAAATACACAGTGTGACAATTGGTAAAGGATTTGCTCCCTAGCTTCTAAAACATGCCAGGAACAGTTCCCAAAAAAATAAGAAATACTTCAATAAAAGTTATTATTTTGTTCAGAACAAAAATACAAATTCACTGTAACAGTGCATGTGTACTTGCCACATACTGCAATTACCACTAACAGAGAAAAAAAGAGAGGTGAAGAGCAGGAAACCACATGCTGCAACTGTACTGTGTACCTTTAGGGATCTTTAGAAACTTCTTCATCTGTCTTCTCCTCCTCAGAAACTGTAAKTGGAGACAAAACACCAATGAGAAACACCAGAAATTACTTATTCAATGAAAAATTGTCAAGTTAGTTACTTCCCTCAGTTCAAAGTATCCTTGGACTACAGGGATAGAATTTACAAAGCTGTATTTGGTATAGACATTTTTCCTTTTAGATTTTAAATTCTAGTTTTAAAGGAGTTTAGAGACCAAACTTCTAAACACTTTTGAAGATCTCCACTGTGATGATTTTAACACACATTTTTCTTTGCATTCAATTACATAGTTCAGCTTCAATAACAGTATGACATTGTTAAYAGTTGCATCAAAGCACTGCAAGCTTTATTCATATTATATGCTCTATATTTTTCTTCACACCACCAGCACTTTTCAGAGACAAATTTCAGACCCAGCTGGACTCTTGCACCTTCTGGAGTTTGCCATGACTCCTCAGCATCAGTGTCCTGGCTCTTTGAGGCTGGCTCAGAAATCTCTTGAGCTGCTGAGGCTACTCCTTCCTTGTCACTGTCTTAAGTTTTTCTCATGGGCAGAAGCTGCAACATCCAAGACTTCACTCACAGTTTCTRTGAGTCAAATTAGAGAGATAATTGTCTTCTCTTTCCATTCACCATCATAAATGAGGGTGAGAAGTCAAGGCTCACTAAGTATGAAGTAYCTGCCCAACATATATACTTGAAGTRGTTGAAGGCAAYAGGATCTATCAGATGATTCAATTTTATCATGCAAGTAAAACTTTGCAAATGRAATTCCAGGGAAAGTCTGCCTCTTTCCTACCCTGGGGCAGAAAACTATACATTGGAGCTATTTTCATGTATTTAGACATAGGCAAATATTCTCTAATGTGTATATTATCTCTTGCAGATACTGTTGCTTTATTTTTTTATTTCTGTCAGATTCAGAGGACATTACTCCACATAATCTTGGAAAGACATCATGAGTAGTTTTAATGTAAAGATATCTTAGCATCAGACTGAAGATTCAGGATGCAATTCCATGATTGCCAATTAGCCATTTTTCAATGCTCCTTTAAGCATAAAGCAATCTATCTCTATAAAATAAAGTCTGTAATTGGTAATATTTAGTAAGAGAAGATCTCTATATAGATACACTCTACAGGGAGACTGAACACATMACCCAGCAGTTGCATGTTAAATTTTACTTGAATAAATCCTCTCGTACCATTTTCTTCTAACCTTCCTGTCAGAAGTCTACATCATTCTACTATTTAACTGCTCAGTAGGAGGTCTGTCTCTTTCTTGTTTCATTCTATAGTAAACTATATTTCTATTAAACACAACTAATTAAACAGATTTAGATTAAACAGATTATTAAATTAAATAATTAAACAGATAATTAAACAGAGTAGAATAAATACAGTAAATAGGAGTTTTATGCCTTTTCMCAAATATCACCTGGTAGCTAGTTAAATACAGCATATTCTAAACATTTCASTTTACTTTTCAGAATGTTTTCTGGATTTTGAAGAAGCAACAGAAAAAGAAATGCTCTGGAATTGACACCTTCGCCTTTATAGGAAAGAGCTATGCAGTAGAAGTAGTACATTTGAAATTTGGAGCTTTAGATATTTTACAGCAAGCAATACTTGATGTAATGCCATATATTTGCTACGGTAACAAGCTGCTGAGTTTCAGTTTGTAACTTCAAATGTTCAGCTTATGTTGCCAAAACTTCTTTCTCTGGCTGAGTATTTAATTTTTTTTTTTTTCTCATGGGTGTTTTAATTTCTTTTACACTAAGAAGAGTAGATCAGTAAGCAACTAGAAGAAGCAACATGGTCTTTTCTGCTTTGGGCACCATGAAATTGAGAAGAAGTCTACAACCTCCTGAAGGCAACCCTGAGCATCCAACTGACACCAAAACAAATGCTGGCCTATTGTTTGGTGGTTTGGACACATTTTGGAACAAATGGTCTGTATTCCATTCACAAAGCCAACACGTTTTTCTCGGTCCAAGGGAATTGCTGCAATCCCAGGCAAAGCCRGATGAATGATGCCCTGGCAAGCTGAGAATGAATCCTCTGCCTGTCTCAGATTTGGGACTGCCATATGGGTCCTTCTAAGTGAGGAATATCAGACATACTGCCCAAGTCCCTTATATCCTCCCCTATTGATCAGCTGGTAGCACAAAGCATTACAAATTTAGGCATTTCTCCTTTGTGTTTCCCTGGATGTTAAATTTAGCCCCAGTGCTATTTTACACCCTCTCTTTTTTTCTTTCTTTTTTTTTTTTTTTTCTATATTTGCATGCATTTCATATTTTTTTGATCCAGTTTAATCTCTTGCAGTTGTTCATGTAAAATCCTGCAGTAATACCCTATTTCATACAAGATATTTTAATCTCTGCCTGGTACAATGGATGCATTTTCCATAATCCCTGGATGAAGGATTTTCTATCAGTTCAATTATTGCAAAAAACTATTGCTGAAAAGCCTGTCATGAAACTCCGCAGCAATTAATGGATGTAACTGAAATCACTCCTAAATTTTGTTAGTTCAAATATTAAAAGTTTAAGCTTATTTTTCCAAAATAGTTGTAGAGAAGTTATAACATCTTGACTGCTTCTGTGTTGTTTCCTGAATGATAATCACTTTGAAAACCTAAAGTCCCTGAATTTTCCTCATGCAGCAATGATTATGACCCATTTTGTCTATTTATGCCAGATTTCTTACAATTTCTACAGGCTGTAACTGAACAAAATAATCTGCATTGTGCAACTGCTCTYCTGCAATGAGGACACATAGTATTATGCTTTGTGCTGAATGCCCAGCTGCTTTATTATCTATATATATATATAGACAATACCACCCCAGCTCCTTAACATCTTTACCAAAACACTCACTTACAGCATTCTTGCCAAATGGGTCTCAGTTAAATGATAATTCCATCCTGACCCATACAATTTAAAGCCTGCCAAAAATGGGAATGTTGTTTCGTTCAGTTTCCTTTCATATCCACAAAAGTGGGTTCATTTGGCTCTTTCTTAATTCTCTGGGGGAAACTCCCCCCCCACACACACACATACACACAAAATCTTCATCAAAAGCACTGGAGTTGAATGGCTTCATAATTTTCCTGTTTCATTTGGTGTGTTGTGCTCCCCCTGTCCTAGWAGGATGTAGAATATACAGACTATAACTCTACAGTATACAGAAAGTATAGTCCAGAGTTTCATACAAGGTATTACATTGGTAGCAAAAATTCTCAGCCTCTGTATATATTATTAGCGTTTTCTTTTCTGAAAATTTGATTTTTTTTTTCCTTAAGCTTCTTCACTGGGTATTTGTTGATTTTCAGTTTTCTTCTGGGATAAGTAGCTACATCCCAGTRTCGCTGGCTACAGCTTTCTTCAACTTTGCTCTTTGGCATTTATATATACCATAGCACTTCCTGATCTGAATTAGGAGCTTAACTTCTTGAGATTTCAACAAAAGACAATGTAGAAGAACTTCAAGCCTCAGAGGAATTAAACTAATCAGATTTACTAACTGTAGGTAAGGGACTTTGCATATTGCATCAACAGCTGTTGCCAAAGCATTCAGAAAGATTTGGACATAGCAGAGATTTTGAGGACAAGCATCCTCAAGGTTAGATAGCATCACTATGCATCTCATGCAATACCAAATTATCTGTTATGAAAACACATCTGGCTTGACTTGARTAAATACAGAAAAGGAAATTGATTTTACAGACAAAAAAAAAATCATGTTTTTGTTTTGAAAGCTTGTGTTTAGTTGTTTGGGTTTTTTGGTGGGGTTTTGTTTTTSTTTTTRRGGGGCATTTTGTTTGTTTTGTTTCRTTTWAATAAGGCAGCAGATTTGGGAAGCTCCAGTAGCTTATTAACACAATATCCAACATCTAGTTCCACTCAGAAATTTAATTTTTTAGGAAACAATCCCTATCATTGAAAAAAAACCCACCAAAAACTGCTTCCTGTGTGAAGTAGCAATTCCTGCAGTCTTTAAAGTCAATTTTTACTCTTACAAGTGTTGCAATTTTTACTCTGAAGTGCTAAAGTTGCAGTCCTGAGAGTGAGTGCAGAACTACACATTTCTGTGCACTTACAGTCCAAATGCAGGGTGATCCTGCATGCTCATGATGCCCAGTTTGAATTGTGCAAATATTTGTGAGCTCAGCATTCCCCCAGCAGAACAGAGAGACAAGATAAGCAGGGACTTGTGTGCCCTGTGTGACTGASTCATCTTTGCTGCAGCTGATAATTAAAAATAACATGCCCAGATTGACTTTCTCCTGCTAATAATAAAGGAAACYCCATGCATGTGCATTGACTTCCAGAACCCAGATCCTACTACTTGCATAGCCTCTTCCCCCAAAGCTTTTAGGCACTTAAAACAAGCTTCCCAACATTCCTGGGGCAGTTTTTATGCAGAATCAGCCTGGATTTTGGTCTGGGATCCAAAGCTTTGGTGCAGAATTTGGCCAGCTCACATTGGCAGTTGTGTCCTACTTCCTGGTAGACAATATGCTATAGGATGACCTTGAAACAAGGAGGTGGAAGTATATAAATTAATTTATTTATTTATTTATTGTATTTTTACATCTTACTGGATTTTCTACCTTGTATTTCTAAGTGGCTTTGTAAGTATGTTTTCCTTATTTACAATACAGATGAAGAAGCCAGTTRTTCCACATTTTAAAATGAAAGCTATATTCAGTCTTTTCCTTGCTAGGGGAGAGGTGGGGATTCCTTCCCACACAACAGAAGTTTTATAACAAGGCTATAAAAGATAACCCCAGCCTTCCCAGCCTATATTTTTTTCCTTCAGTTTTGCCTTTCCTTACCAATAGTTTTGGAACTATCATATTTTGATTCTAATCCTAATTCTTTGATTCATTTAAAAGTCATCTTTCCAGTTAGAAACAACAACAACAAATTTAAACAGGTGCTTGTTTCCTACAAATTTTAAAGATATTTAAAAATACATGTTTCTGAGTGAAGCACTTTACTTAAAGCAGTATCTTTCATGTAATTATTATTTTTTCTGGGCAGTCAGAATTGAGGCTGGTATCTGTAATGCAGATCAGCAGATTCAAATACTTTAAAAATATTCTTTGCAGAAGAATTTGGTTTTATAAAGCTAAAATAATACAAGTTAGCCAGCATCATACAAGTGGAATCTGCCTGGAGCAAGCAAACTAAAGCTGGTTTATAAGGCTTTGATATTTCAAGCTGCCTATAATAGAATCAATGTCATGCACCAATTCCAAAAGGGGAAGAAGGGGGAAGCCAAATTTAATTGTGAAATTAGAAAGTATTTTATTTACTGTCTTTTAGAGACCACCTTACATTAGAATGTGATGCTTTTGTTCACAGAAAGCTTCCTCAGTCAGGTCCATTGAGGGTCTCAGGATGTCTCACAAAATGTTAAGCAGAACGAATATTCCCTTTTCCTTCTCATAGTTTAAAGACCTGCTAATGGAAAACTGGAAGTGGAGTAGAATTGACTTTTTAAGTCAAATTCTGCCACGTTTGAAAAGTAATTCAAGAATGTATGTGAAAAAACCTGCAAAACAGAGCACAAGAA